ATTTGTTTAAAGATGTCTTCAGAAATTATGCCACTACACTGACTTGGAGCTGGGTGGACAGTATTATTACCATTGACAAAAAGAAAAGTAGTGCTTATTTCTTTTGAGCTGAATATCTGCATACATTTTTGAGGTGGTTTTGACACTTGCTTTCCAATTGCATGTGTTTGAGAGGACTGCCTCTTATTTAGAACATTTCAAGCTGGGCAGATCACTTATATGACTGCGTTTTTGAGTTTATGTAAAGTGTTTACAATGTATCATTTAAAATAACCCAATTTTGAAAATGAGTCTGCTAGTATTACCTAATTTGAGAGAGTTTGCTCCAGACTGGACAATCTATTGTGCATTTTAATGGAATTTTTAAATTTTGATATGAGCAGAAAGGGGAAGATTGGAAATAAAAGTGCTGATGTACTGATTCTGTAAGTACACTAGCAGGTAGGCAAACCAAATGTATGTTTTCCTGACTGGACTATGCCTACACAAATGCATAATGGGCAGATGAGTTTATAGTATGAAGAACTATAACCATGTATTTAACAAATGGCCTTCTCTGGCCCCACATCTTTGATCCTTCAGGTGAACTCTTTCCAGCCTCACATTTAGAGGATAATTTCTGTAGCCTACAGAACTGCCAAACATTTTGGAAGATTGCATTATGGTCAAAGCATTATCAATTTACTTCTTACCAACACAGTTGTACTATAAAAAAACAGTCTTTCAAAAATGGTTTGGTTTTCTTTGATGATGCACAAGCTAGTTGTTTATCTTGTGTGTAGGCATGTGGTTTCCTTTTTATTTTTTTCATTCTTCTATTAAAAAAAAAGCAGGCCTTGATCATATTATTTTCCAGTGTATATGAATGTGTGTGAACTAAGTCTAACAAGGTAAGGCAAAATATTTTCCATGCTGTCATTAACTCTCCTTTTGTAGATGGTTAACAAAAAAGTTATCCTAACATTAATGTAAACTATTGTTAACAGAAGTGGATTTATGAAGGAAAACTGGGTAGCTAGCTAAGAAAATAGGTAGAATTGTAAAGCACATTGAAAGTGAAACAGTAATGTCATACATGAAAGTTGGTTTTAAAGAAACCTTTTAACTGTAGGAAAGTTCTGAACAGCACTGTCTTTCTTGCAGACATTATTTCTTAAAGTAAATGGAGTAAATGTATTTTGCTTACCTATAGATTCAGATTAATTGATCAGTCACTATTAAGTGGTGAGGCTGGTGCTGCTTTCTGAGTAAATCCTTCTCTCAAGTTACTGAACACCAGACTTCCTGAACTCCAGAAACTTTCAGAAGCTTTGTCACTGTGGTGGAGTTTTATTTTGCTTGATTATGAACAGAAAAGAAATCTTGGAGGCTGAGAGCCTGTGCTGTCTAAACTTTTGAGGACTGTTTTAAACGAAGAGGAGCTGTGAGTGCTGGTGTCAGGAGAGGCAGGATAAATCTCTCACCATCAGTGTGGCAAGGGCCACTTTCCCTATTTTCATCATCTGCATTTCTACTACAACTAGAAGAAATTGATTAGAAATAGTCCAATTCCAGGTAAAAGTCTTGCATTTGGCCTCAATGCCTAGTGGCTATTTAAATGCTGACAGCATGTTTGTCTGACTTCTGATACAAAAATTGAAGTGAAGTTGAGAAGTCAAGTGGGTAGATGTTAAGAACTGTCTGTTTGTGAGTTTGCAGTTGAATGACAACTGTAAGAGGGTGTAACAGCCAACACCCCAAACCCATGGGAGAGCGTTGACCCTGTCTGGGTGCCAGATGCCTACCAAATCTTCTCTCTCCCCTTCACAGCTGAACAGGGGAGAGAAAATACAACTAAGGATTCGTGGGTTAAGATAAGGAGTGGGAAAGATCACTCGCCAAATACCATCACAGGCAAAACAGACTTGAATTAAAGGTAATATTTGAATTTATTACTAATTAAATCACAGCATGATAATGAGAAGTAAAATGAGACCTTAAAACACCTTCCCCTCCACCCTTCCCTCCTCAGCTCTGCCTCCTCCCCTCAGAGCAGTGTGGAGAGATGGGGAATGGGGGTTGTAGTCAGTTCATCACATGTTCCTGCTGCTCAGGTAGAGGAGTCCTTCCCCTGCTCCAGCGTGCGGTCTCCCTTACGGGAGACAGCTCTCCAAACTTCTCCAATGTGAGTCCACCCCATAAGCAACAGTTCTGCATGAACTGCTGCAGTGTGGGTCACTCTTCCATGGGGTGCATCCTTCAGCCACAGCCTGCTCCAGTGTGAGTCCCCCTCAGGGCCACAAGTCCTGCCAGGACCCTGCTCCAGCACGGGCCTCCCATGGGTTCACAGCCCTCTCTCAGGCATCACCTGCTGTGGCCGGGGTCTTCTCCAGGGGCTGCAGGTGGATCTCTGCATCCTCAGGGACCTCCAGGGTCTCTGCAGGGCCACAGCTGCCTCACCATGGTCTGCACCACGGGCTGCACGGGAACCTCAGCTCTGGTGCCTGGGGCACCTCCTGCTCCCCCTTCTGCACTGCCCTGGGTGTCAGCCGGGCTGTTCCTCTCACATGCTGTCACCCTGCTCTTCTCTGATGGCAATTTCAACTGCACAAATGCTGGGTATTTTTTCTTCTTCTTCCATCTGTTGTCACAGAGGCATTACAACCATTTCTAATTGGCCCAGCCTTAGCCAGTGGCACATTCATCTTTGTAGCCACCAGAGACTGGCTCTGCTGGACACTGAGGAAGCTTCTCACAGCCTCTTGCATAAGCCACCCTGCAGCTCTCCCACTACCAAAGCTTGGCTATGCAAACAGAATACACGGATATTAAATGGAAACTGATTTAGTGCCAGAATCTACACTAAGTTTTCTGTATTTTTTTAAGAACATGCTTTGAAGCAGATTTCTTGTTTAACTTTAGTCTTGGTCAGCATATTGAGCTAGCCAGTCTGAGTTCCAGTAATGTCAGGGTGGGAAAACTGAGTGGCAGTGAAATCAAGTAAGCTACTTTTCTTACCAAAGAGCTAGTTAAATATAATATGATTAATTGTACTCAGTGAATATATTTGTTGAAAAATTGAGCCATACTCTGCACAAGGTTTCTGTGGGCTTTGGTAGAGTTCTGTTATAACCACTGCATGAAGTACTTTCAGTTTTCCATGCCTTTTCTCTTGACAGGGTGTTCTCATGTGTCTGAAACTAAAAGAATACTGGATTAAAAGAATAATTTACTGTAATCGGTCTAACAATTTAATACAATAATTACTTATAAAGTGAACACTTTTAATGGTTCCTTCCCAGTACCAGTTATGGCTGAATTGCTTGGCTGTCACAGTTGAGCACTCTGAAGTACCTGGTGTTCAGGACAGGGTTGGATTTACTTACGTTTGATATCGTCCATAGTTGGCTTATGGAGCAAGGTGACAATAATATTTATAGTTTGCATCTAACCATAAAATCCTTTCTCTCATGTGATTGCAAGTGCAAAACGCAATAGTGCTCCTCATGTTTCCATTAGTAAAGAAAGAGGATGCCCCCTATTTCTTGTTTTGTCAGCACCTTTATCAGCACAGTGTGCTGAATCAAGTATTGTAGTATGAATGCAGGGTGCATGAAAATGGTCATCGTGAAGGCAATGACATTGCATAGGGAAATGCTGATGCTGAAGGATGATATTTCTAGAAAATGTGAACTTAAAAGAGACTTGCAGAGGGAATATTTTCCAAACATGAAATTGATGGTGGTTTCAGATATTTGGAGATACAGGACAGAAGTGCAACCAGGGAAACAAGTGGGCAGCAAAATGAGAATGGAGATGAGGTAGATCATATGAACTCTAATGGAGGCAGGCTTGTCTGTGTTGCATGTTGCAGTGAAGGGTAAGTGTAGTGGCTAAAAATTCCTGCAAAATGGCAGTGAACAGGATGTACTTGTAGCAGTGGAAATAAGTCTGGACTGTTAAGGTGAAGATAAATGAGAAGATGATAGTGGGGAAATCTCAGGAGAGAGATGCGTTACCATCATGAGGGAAGAACTGGCTCTCTCAAGCTGCACCTGGCTTAGCCTAGAGGAGATGCAGAAGGGCTGCTAGCCTGGTTATCAAGATGTGCTACAGCCTGAAATAACAAATAAATACTACTAGTAAAGGTGAATACAATGTGAAAGTTGCACTGGGGTATTAAGAGAATTCATATGGTAAAACGAGACACTGAATGGGTAGGGGAAAAACACCATCAAATGTGCTGGGATTTTTAAAAGGTATTTTCTAGGAGAAACAAGGCAAGGGAAGGGCTGATGAGTGCTTGATTGTGGAGCAAAAATCAGTATTAATATAAGCATACTTTTCTGAAAAGTTTTACATAAGTAGGATATATTGCAATCAAAGTGGACGTGCTGGATAATTTTTTTGGGTTAATGGTACTGCTGTTGGAACTATGACATTCCATGATTCTGGTGTGGAAACAGTTGACTCATCAGAGTGGGATTTGCATACTAATTATAACATGGCTAATTATTGTATTTAAAAGGAGTATGCTGACATATTGGTACCTTTTCTCCTTCCCACATAACTCAGAAATACTTCTTATTTACAAAGCTTTTTTTCAATAATAAATGTTGCAAAGCTGAACTTCCTCATTTATCAGTAGGTTGGACTTTAAGTGGAGATGGTGATAAAAAATAATTTAAGCATTTGTTGTTTATTCATATTTACCTCTTAACTGTAATGGTTAACCACAGCACAGTTTCTTGAGATTAGACTTTATGACATGGAAGCACCTGGTTTGTACATAGAGATTGCAAAATCATATTGTTGTGCATAATAGCGCTGTTATAAATTAGACCCAAGGATAGTGGGATGTGGCCAGCTAATACTTCCTGATCTCTATTTCACATATGGTGTTCTGTCAGCCTTTTCTCTTTTTTTACAACTCTGTTTCCTGAAAATATTTTCTAAAAAACTTTATTAATCTTTCTTTATTGACAAAAATCCGTATTTCTGTTTTGGTTTGTTTTCTGCAGGCAGCATCATAAAAGTCAAGTGAAAATGGCCTTTAGCAATCTGACATCAAAGGCTATACTACTGTATGATGAATGGATTAAAGATGCCGGTGAGTCATTTAAATCTAAAACTTACTAACTCCCAATAATTTTGAATAGCAATGTGTAGCTATGCTAGGTGTGCTGTTTATCAGCTTAGAAGTAGCTTTGTCATCTTGTGAATATTTGTAAGACTTGCTAGGTTACCTATTTATATGACAGTCTAGTTTCTACATTTTAAAATCGGAAGTAAACAAAACTCAGGTAGTTTATGGATATAAACTCTAAATAAAATACAGTGATTCTCCTGTCAGTGTCTTTGGTTGCCTGAATATATAGTTTGAGTGCTGAATGTAGTTTTAACTCTTTTTTCATTACCAAACAGTTGCATTTTATCAGTTAATTAATGCAGGCATATGGCATTACTGCATTTTGCTTTTGCAAAGTGAAAAAAAGAAACTCAAGCTCCGGTAAGTTTCAGTATTTTGAAATTAATCGTCAGAGTAATTAATTCTGTCACAGTGGTACTTTGAAAAAGGATGTTAGTCTCTTGTTGCAGTAAGTAAGGGATGTTAATCACACTTTGCTTCTATTCCACTTTGTTATTTTGTATGCTTACCAAAAGCTGGATAGAGAAGACTTCAGTTTTGGGGTTGAGACCCATCAGTCTCAGAAAGGGATTAGCTAATTCCTGGAAAAAAATTGTGAAGTGGTGAGGGTTTGATAGATAAAATTACTGATTTATCTTTTCCAGCTTAGCTGAGCACCACTTTTCTTGTTCAGTTGAAGTACAGACTGCAAGTGAGCAGGGAATTTAATATCAGTATGACTCATGGGGTGAAGTGGATTGGGATGGAGTGAGCATTTTTTCTGCAATGTCCATGACTTCAGAAGCTGAGTTGTCTCCCTGCCCAACAGTGCTTGTATTTGGATCACAGTGTTAGTGGTGGAACTTGATTTTCTCTGGATCAGACTGGGAAGAACAGTGAGAAAGGTTAGGTAGGAGCCAGGACAAGGGTGGATACAACAAAAACAATCAGTTGTGAAGAGATGGTCGTTCTCTTGCAGTACATACAAGCAGATTCCTCATGCTGTGGGTCACAATCCTTGGTCTGTGGGCAGCAGCTCTGGCACATTACAAGCTGTGAGAAGCATTATAATGTGCTCTCCTCCTCAATTTGTTTTTACACTTTCAGTGGCTGTTAACCACATCAGAGGGTCTCATGGGTTAAAGATTGCTTGAATGCTTTGGGCTGAAAATTTGCTGACTTGAAACATTTGGCTATGAATTAAACAGTTGACAAAAAACCAGTAGTGTAATTTTACCCTTAAAATACAGCAGCAAACCATGAAAGAAACAGTTTTTTTTAAGTCAGTAGTTAAGTTTGGGATCATTCTGAACCAAATCTTGCAAAAGTCAGTATAAAAAAGAATAATTAATGAAAATAAAAATTGCATCAGGTTTGTATCACTTCACCTGCTTATGGAGAAATGTGGCAGTCTTTGGTGATCTGGGACTCTGTGATGAACCACAGAAGGGTGCAGTGGAATCATGGTGATGCTCAGATGAAATACCTGCCAGCCTCATTGGTAGAGAGAGGGAGTGGGGTGTGCTTAGGAGGAGGTGCCTCTGCAATACATCTCTCTGGCATAACTGTGGGGTAATTTGCAACATTTGCTTGTTGTATTATAACTTTCTTGTCATTATGAAAGTGTGTGCTTTGTCATGCTGTAAAGACAAAATCATGTCACTCAAGATTCTGTGTCTTCTTTTCACTGTATGTGAAGAAAGAAGCAATGAATCCTACATGGGTTAAATCATGTTATCCAGGCAGTATGGATTTGAAGTAAATGGAATCTGAAACATGATTTGTGACAGAAAAATCTAGAGCATCAAGAATTAAATACTTTTCTGTAGCTGTTTTAGTAAGTACTGTCGACATCTGACTTTTTTTTTCCTCCCCCATCCTGTCTAGATCCAAGACTGGAAGGCTGGCCACTCATGTCTTCACCTTTTCCAACGACTTTCATCATTGGAACCTACGTTTATTTTGTCACTTCCTTGGGACCCAAACTCATGGAAAATAAAAAACCTTTTGAACTCAGGCAGATCATGACATTTTATAATTTTAGTGTGGTAGCCCTCTCTTTATATATGACTTATGAAGTAAGTAATATGTTTGTAATGCATTTTTATATTTCATGTCTTTAACAACTATTTTTTAATAAATTTATTAATATAATTTCCACACTGCAGTAGTCAAAAAAATATTACTGTCATGGCAGTAATTATATTCCTCCAAGACGTATGCGAAACTTGTAATTCTTGGAAAAAGGGAATAAATCATACCCAGAAAGAGAGAACATGAAACATTTTGTGTCATTATACAAAATTTAAAAAGTTTTAAGTTTTTATAATTTAAATTCATTGTACTGCAGCAGTTAAAGCAGTACAAAAAAAACCAATATGCTTTTCTTAGTATTTTGTAATTGTTTCTGTCCTACTAGGTGATAATGTGACAACCTGCCCTTAAGGGGAAGGAACAACAACTGATGTTTCAAACACTGTATAGAGTATAGATATACATACAGTATAAAGAAATAATCTTCAGTTAGATCTGCCTTTTAAAAGACAGAAATCAATGACAGAGGATAGCAAAATCTAATTCAAGGCTGTTTTATCCTTTAAATGAACAAACAAAACCCCTCTAAACAAAAAACCTCCAACCTCTGCCCCCTGCTTCCTCCTCAACCACAAATTATTTATATATTTAACACTTATTTTCCCCACAACCCCAAAATAGCAAATTCTCTCTCTTTTTTCTTTTTCCTTTTTTTTTTTTCTTTTCCCAAAAGCAATGTTGAGATTTTGCTGCTGTTGGGCTTTACTTATTTGCTGGGATTTGTTGGGCTTTGGTGGGGTTTTTATAAGTGTAGCTATTTGTTGATGGTACTGTGTAAATGACAGCCTTACACATTTGCTTTGTGAAGCATCACTGTGCTAGTACTGACCCTCTGTGTGACTCTCCGGCTATGTGGCTATTTCAGATTTGGGAAACTACTAATAAAAAGTTGTCAGGTTATCGTGCCAAATCAGCAGGATAGGTTCCTGTTAGCTTAATTTGCATGAATCTTATAATGAGTTACAGTGAACTACATGACATTTCTTCTAACCTCTCTAAAGGCACTGCAGCAGCAGCTACTTTGTGTCATGACTGTTGAGTGGAAAGACGAATGTTTTTGCTATTTAGACTTTTTTTTTAAATTGCCGAAATTCCTTTTGGAATTTGGTTCCAAGTTTAGTTTTGGTTATAAACCTCAGAAACAAACAAACAAAACCCCACAAAGAATAAAATAAGAGAAGATTACACTTCTGTTAGTGTCTGACACTGGCATGGTATTCAGTAAGTCTGCTGTCAAGATTTCCATGTTACAGTTGCATGAAAGAGTGAATGGACAGACTGTAACTGAGTGAATTTCTGCTATATTGTCTGGTGGTTAGCAAGAAGCTGATTCTTTCCCTTTTTCCCTTTTTGTAACCAAGTCACTTGGTTGTGCTGTTTCTTTGGTGTTCCAAAAAAACATGTTCTTTTTTTAAAGCAATCAGACCTTTCAGGAAATTAAAAGGACAAAAGCCTGCTTCTGTTAGGAGAGGTGAGGCTCTTACCATGCATGAGTGGATGGTGATAATGAGAAGCATCATGAAGATATAAAATACAGATGTCATAGTTGCTGGCAGTAGAATAAGCCAAGTAAAATATTAATATTTTTGTTCTTGTCTAAACCTTAATATATTCCAAGAGAAAATACTGTATTATATTCGATACATATAGTCCTTTGGTCATTTGTGTGCTCTCAGTTGTAGCTTCTTGTCACTTGTTTGAGTGGAAAACTAACTGAACCATGAAGTTTAACTAAGCAGAATTTAAGAAACTATGATATTAAATATACATCATGCATAGTGTTTTGTTCCTTGTCTTTAATGATAAACAGCAATAGCTTTCTGGTTTATGCTGGTTTTGTTGGAGTATTAAGATGCTGTGTTGTATTTTTTTTCGTATTAAGATAATTAGCGTGATAGCAATTTTCAAAAGAATTGTATTTGGTTTTGTAGTCTTACTCACACAGTAAGTTGTCATTTAACACAGGTTTTGAGATGCATCTCTTTCTTCTCTTCAGTTCTAATGCTGAAATAATGGGTGTAGGAAGAAAATTCTTGTCTATGGGTGTGGTCCTGGAATTAAAAATTCATTAATCTGCAACAGCAAAGGATTTTTGTGGTAGCTATTCCACACACAGGTAGATGATTGACAAAGTTGCTGATTTAAGGTGTTTTTAATATTGTTTTTCCCCTCCTGCTTAATGATTGCAAAAGTAATCCAAAATTAATGAATTTTTCAAAAGGTGTAAAATTAATCTTTGCTCTTTCCTCCAGTTTCTTATGTCAGGCTGGGCCACAGGATACTCATTCCGGTGTGACATTGTTGACTACTCGAGGTCACCGACAGCTCTAAGAGTAAGTTGCTGAAGACAAGGGTGAATTGTTATTGTAAAACAATAGAATAGTTTGGGTTGGAAGTGACCTTGGTGACCTAGTTCCAAAGCCCCTGATATGAGCAAGGACACCTTCCACTAGACCAGGTTGTTCAAAGTAGTGTGTTACACATTTACTTAATTTTTAGAAATACTTTTTGAACAGTCTGCTTTTTGAATGCACTGTTGTGGAGTGGAGTGCACTAAATGGAAATGCCCTCTTGCATAATGTAGAGCACATGAGTTAACCGGAGGGACAGGCTGGTTGGTTGCTTGGGAGGAAGAAAGAGGCAAGGAATTCATTGGCTTCTTTTTGTTGGTTTTAAAATTCCTTTAAGTTTAAAAATTGTTTTGTGTTTTTAAAGAAAAAAACAATCAAACTATACATTTAAATATTTCTGTCAACCTTGTAACATCACCTGGCCCAGTACTTTCCTTTATGTAGTGTCCTGGGGTGACTAGTTGCCTGGTTTATGTTACATATTAAGTTCTGCACCTTTAAGAGTGGCTCTGAGAGCGAAGGGGATACCAGTATCATAAAATCACCTCAGGATATTCCACCCCTTATCCCTATATCATCAACTTATTATCAAAACTAATATATATTCTAACTCTACAATATATAGATTATTATTTGTCCTGCTCAGTTTTGTTTATGACTTTCATGGTTTGACAATTTGATTTTTACTCTTGCAGATGGTGCGAACTTGTTGGCTTTATTTCTTTTCCAAGTTCATTGAATTATTAGACACTGTAAGTATTTGTAGCCTAATAAAACAAGTTGTTCTTTTTCCTTTTCAGAGCAGAACTGGTGCTGTTCAGGTCTCAGGATATAAGTGGCTTTTTATTTAGTCCTCCAGTCTTCAATTATTAGAATATGATCACAATGTTTATCCCTATTATATCTTTGTCTTTTTACACTTTGCACACTTTGTACTGTCTTTTTACACTGTTCTTCCTTCATTACCAGGAAAAATGTTAATGAGGGAACACACCTTTAAATTTTTAGAAAGTCTTTATAACTTGACTGTTTAACAACTGAGTACACTAGTCTGGTATGCTATGGCAGTGCTTGTCTCAACACTGCAGATAAAAAACAGTTGATCATGCTGAATTTTTTTTTCACATAATTTTCAGATTTTATCTTCCCCATACATATCATCAGCAGGATGTCTGAATGCAGGACAAAATTGCCATACCTACTTGCTCTAAATCCCTGAGATGGTCTTGAGTGTCATGACTACAGAGATGTTTGATGTCAGTCTGGCTCTCTAGCCTGTTTCAAACAAAGTCTGAGTAGCAATGCATGGAAGCAGAATGCAGACCTTGCTCACCACCAGCAGCCATCTTTCCAACACTGGTACCAGATAGGACTGAGATATTTTCAAAACAGCTTTTCAGTGTTGGAATTAGTTGCAGTTCTATTTGCCCTATTGTTTGGGGCACAAGAGTGGTGGTTCAGGAGCTGACTCATGAGCAGTGAGGATGTTCTACATCCTCTAGAGCAAAAGCAGGCCATCTGACTTTACATCTGCAAATGTTCATGATTCAACACTGGAAGATCTTACTGACTAAACCAAACGGAATGGTAATGGAAGTGTCAGGAATGCTAAAACTGGAAAATCCTGACGAATATATTGCTCTATCTGCCTTTATTCCTCACAGGTTATAGTGCTCTTTTTTAATTAGTCCTGAGCCTGATTTTTTTTTTTTCTTTAATTTATTTTGTTTGAAAACACACAATTAGGGACCCATTTCTCATCAGCTTTTTTTGTTTTATTGCAAAAGTAGTTTCTTAGCTATATTTAAATCAGCTGATTCAAAATGTTTTCTCTGGTACACCAGGCTTCTTTTCTTCTGTGTTTGTTTGCTTGCCATCTGATACTACCCTGACTTCCATGACCTGACTTCTCCTTACAGATTTTTTGCTGTCTTCCCTTAACATTTCCCTTGATGCCTGCCCTTTAAAATGAGGCCTGTCAATATCAATTAAGAATACCAACCTATATTCTGTATAATTTTGATGTTTTCCAATGGTAGCTAAGTTAAAATTGATAATAAAGTGTTATTTCTCTAACATAGTATTTTCTACTGCTAGTCCTGTTAATTTTCTCAAATGACCTTTCATTAATAGCTCAGGGGACTTAAAATCTGATGCTTGTAGAGACTTCTCAATCCAAGCAATTCCATCTTACATGGTTTGGTGCACATGTTGGTGATGGCTCAACCTTTGACATTTGGTTTCAAAGCTTGCCTTGGCTTGTGAGATTCCACAGGTGGATTTTGCTTACTGGCTTTAAGGTTTTTAGAAAACTAGTTTGCATAGCCAGACAGTCACTTAGTTTTTCTTCTCCCAACATGGTAACTGTGAAGAACTTTTGAATGTATAGTAGTGAGCAACCAGCACTGATGTGTACATTTTCTTTAAATATGTTTGGTTTGATTATTTTCTGTAACATTCTGTTCATTAAAAATATCTTTCAGATATTTTTTGTGTTGCGTAAGAAAAACAACCAAGTTACATTCCTGCATGTCTTTCATCATTCCATCATGCCGTGGACCTGGTGGTTTGGAGTCAAATTTGCTGCAGGTATGGAGAGAGAGTGGCATTTAAGTTGAACATATCTTCTGGTAGTGAAAGTTACCTATGGTAGACAAAAAGAAAAAGAGAATTAAACACTTCGGAAACATCAGTGTTTTTAAATTTAGACTTCTGCAGTTATTTTATGGAACTGAGATCACCATAATTATTTAAATAGGTGGGGATTGCTCATTTTTCCTATTTGATAGCATTTTGTTCAGTGCTGATTTCTTATGGAGGGAAAGAGGTTCAGAGAAGAGAGCTGGGTACAAGCAAAAAACATTATTAGATGAAAAAGAAGTCACTGAAAAATTGCAAGTCCTAGGGGAGACACATGAAGCAAATAATTCTGTTAAAATTACTTTATAACCATTTTTCCCCTGACAATGTAAGAACTAAGTCGGAGTAGAGGACTGCATTCCTTTTTTTTTTCCTGTTTGAGAAATTATTTGGTCTTTGTTGCAGTTACTTTTACTGGCTTTAGGTAGCGTGTGTGGGATTTATTTACACCTGATACTTCAGCTTTTACAAAACTAGAAAAATATTTTCCTGGACCTTTCTTTATTAAAGTAACATTTGAATTTTTTTTTTAATTTAAATTCTTTGACCGCTATCTGCTTACCTTCACTTTCTCCTTTTCTGCTTGGTGTGTCTTTGCATGCATTTTCCTATGCCACATTATCGGTGTGCACCACTAATAAATACAACTTGCCATGAGAATAGTCTGAAAAGCACAAAGTGGAAAAATGCATAGTCATTTATTAATCAATTTGTGGGACAACTTAGGCTTTTTTAGGAGTTTCTGCTGAGAAATAGTGGGGTTTCATACATGTTTACCTGGGAACATGTTTTGTGGTTTTTCTTTTTTTGTCCTGGAAAATTGGTGATGAACTGATGAAGCAGTTATTCCACTGCTTTTCAGTGTAATCTCTTAATGTCTATTTTATGTCTGTTTTTTTCTGGACTGGTCTAGAAAGCACTTCAGAAAATTTGTAGATCTTTTGAACCTTTCCAGTGTGCAGCTTTTCCTTGTGCATAAATGGATCTACTTCTGTTGTATTTGTGGAGTTTCTGTTATTAGGAAAGTGGTGGATTGATCATGTATTTCTCAAATCTTGCTGAGTGACTGCTGTTACATTGATAATAAAACTGTGAATGGTTGTCTCAGCATAGACCCTAGTGTTTATAGGTCTGCAACAGGAAACCTGCAGCAAATAGCAGTCCCTCCTCTTCAACCTTGAAAATTTTCCACTTATGGGTGATTAACTTTCTCCATTTTATCTGGGTGTTGGATCAGTTTACCAGCTACAGGCTTCTGATTTTGCATCAGATTCTAATTTCCCATGTGATAATTAGACAAATGCTTTCAGCAAACTGTGCAAGAATTGTTCTGTCCTGTGGTAGTAATAGTCCCTCATATTTATGCAGAGCCATGTTTATTCCAAAAACTCTATTGCTTATCTTCACACTTATCTTTCCAAATACTGTTGTTTGATAAGTTTAATTTTTTTCCAAGAATTTCAGTCCTGCTGATGTTTACCTTGTATTCAGTTTCATCAGTGCTTGTCCTTCTAAACAGCAACATGTTTTCAGATCAGCATCACGTTTTCGAACTGTTTGTGAAAAACCCAACAACCAAACAGGATGGAGATGCTGTTTTTTCTCTGATCTGATATAAACACAGAATTATAAAATGATGCTTATTATAGCATTGCTTTTTGAAGCATATTTTTGTACCGTTGTGTAGGTTCCTTTTTTCTCTGCTTTAGCTATTTGTTTTTTCTTCTGAATATTCACTGCACAAGCCAAAAAAAGTATGTATATTTGAACTGTAAGAACATTCAAATTATTTTTAAAAATACAATAGCTAAGTTTCAAAGAAAGTTTGCAATCACAGCTGGATGAGTTATGCCTTCTCAAGCTGTAAGATTAGTTTGAGCTACTAAAAACACAAAATAGATTTTATTTTTGATTGGAATGATTCTAAATGGGAAAATTACACTCTTTTTCTCACTAAATGTCTCCTTTTATGTCATCTCATTTTCTTTTTGATGATCATTGTTTTCATATCCATGTTTCTTTTAAAAATACTTTGCTCTCTGCTGCTTCTTGGATCACTTTTACCTCTAATTTCTTGTGTTCATTAAAATAAAGCTACTTTGAGCAGGATCATGTAGCTCCATGGTTAATCCAACAGAAAAGGAAGTGTTTCCTTACTTGTTCTGTGAAATACTCATGTGTTACCAGTTTCAGTCATAAAGTTATCCCAAAATGGGCCCTACTTAAGTTTCCCTTTCAGTGTAAGTATGTTTTGAGATTGACAATGGATTTGTGAGACCCTTGTTCATGATTACAAAAACTTACTGTCTGAAATGGTATTTCCTTCCCTGGGAATCTGGAAATCTGTATTGAGAAGAGACTTATTACTTATCCTCTACAACTTTTTGAAGTTCATCATGATGTCCAGAAAGGAGGCAAAAACCAGGGGGAATGCTTTCTACTATGTTTTCTGTGTCTCTATCAAATTTATGTTTTAATCAAAAAAATAATAAAAATTGAACCCAAAATAATGTTTTTACAGGTAATTAGATCAGCTCTGTTTTACTGCTGTTTTGGGAATGTTTAGATAAACTTTTTCTGAGACAAGAAACTGATGTGATCTGTCAGAATTGGTATCAACCCAATTCAGGAAAAATATCTTGAGGGTTAGTCAAAGTCTAGGTTTTGTGGTACATGTTTTAGATATCCTGGCTTTTTAAATACATGCTGTAATACTACTACTATGTTTTGTTTTTCTACAGGTGGTTTAGGAACATTTCATGCTTTGCTGAACTGTATTGTGCATGTTGTCATGTACACTTACTATGGAATCTGTTCTCTGGGACCAGCCTATCATAAATATTTGTGGTGGAAAAAGTACATGACAACTATACAACTTGTGAGTAGCTGTTTTAACATATGCACCTCTCAAAAACCTGATTGTAGCTAACACAGATTTAATGCAATAAATTTGTTCTTTTGGTTATGCTCATGTGTGGAGCTTACAGTAGGTATAAGCTTTACTAATGTTTTAATTGAGGATAACAAAAGGTGTGAGCTCTCCACAGTAATATAATTAAATCTGCTGACTTCAGCATTCACTCTAATCACAGATTTAGACAAATAAGCTTTTCAGTTATGCAGTACTTGATAAATATATTTTATATTTATATATAAATAAAAATTATTAATATATAAATGTACACCAAGAAAATACAAATAATGTACAGAATACTTAACTAATGTACAGAATTATGTAACTACATGTAAAATGTAGCAAGAAAAGGGGAAAAAGTATTTATTTAGAACTTGATCTTCTTTCATAGAAAATGTTTGTGTTTAGAAATTTTACCTCTCTTCAACCCAGAACATTAAAACCCTCTTTTACAGTATATTAAGTCTTCTATCAGCTTTAGATCTCTTTCAAAAGGTTGCTCTTCTGAGTGCTTTTTCATGCCCACCTCATTTGATAGATGGGTTTTCAAAATTCAGTTTCTGGCTAAACAATTGGCTTAGAAAGAGCAAAGGTGCTGAGGAGGTAAAGGAGATGTCTGCTTGCACCAGGGCTGGTTTTAGTAGAATAGTTCATGTAACCATGTGCAACTCCAAATGATATAGCCTGAATATTTATAACTTGGTCTTTTTGACCTGGAGGCATTACCAGTGGACGATAAACTTGGACTTCATGCAGAGTGTCTTTTTGTCACATGCTAGTATGCAGGAAAGGTGGGAATTCTTGTTCCCTAACCCTATAATGGTTGCTTGCTTTTCTTTTTTTTTTTTTTTTTTCCTAATTTTTCTAAAGAAACCTCCCATTTTTCACTGGACAAACACTATCTGCCTCCATCCTTTTTATCTCAACTAGCCAGGGTAGAATCCTATTCTCCTACCATGAGCTTCTTAGTTTGTCCCTGAACTTCTCTTCCTTTATTATGTAGACCTGTTTTTCAGTGCAGAAATATTTTGGGGAGATGAGCTATAAAGGTGCATCTATGCCATATTAAGAAGTTGTACTGTTGTCACTTGCTCCTTGCTTTCCCCCCACTCTACCCCTACTATCTGCTTTTCAGCAAACAAGCTATGCTGAAATTTTTCAACTTCTGTACTAAGGTTGTAATTTATTTTAAAAGTACTTATTTTCTTCACCTTTTTCCTCCAGGTCCAGTTTATTATGATTACAGTCCACATAGGACAAATCTACATCATGGATGATTGTCCGTACCAGTATCCAATTTTCATGTTTATTATTTGGCTTTATGGCTCTATGTTTTTAGTCTTGTTTCTCCACTTCTGGTACCACGCTTACACGAAGGGACAAAGACTGCCAAAAATAGCAAGAAATGGCATCAGCAAAGATGAGTGAAACAAATTCTTGTCTCTAAAACCAAAGAAGTGTATATGTCAAAGGGGAAACTTGCACTACTTGACAATCAAGATGTTTAGGTGCGCACACTACATGGTGTATATTTTGTATGTTTTCTTCCAAAACAGAATTTGTATTTTTACCATAAGTTATTTGGGATTCTTAACATGGGAGCGGGGAAGAACTGTAGATCTCTGATTAAAAAAAAAAAAAAAAAAAGAAAGATAGAATATATCTAAAAAATGCACAAAAATAAAGATAATTGGAAAAACTAAAATGTGTATGACAAGTACTGAGTACTTCGAACACACTTTGAGGGGGATAAAAGTTACTTCACTATAAATGTTGTAAGTTGCTAAGACTGTCAGCTGCATTTTATTGTAAGAATGATTCTTCAGTAAGTACTGTTTTTAGAATCTAAGGCATATTAATATAGTTAATACATAAACATTATTACATCTGTTTATATTACTTTAAAGGAAGGATTGTAAGTTAATCTGTCAAGACATAATGTTTCATTTGAAGATCACAGATTTTTGGATATACTGTCTTTTACTAGGAGAACTGAATTCATTTCATGCTGTACTCAGTTGAACATTATCGTAAATGTTGGAAAGCTACTAATATGGGGATTATCTGAATTGTCTTGTAGCATAGTGATCAAAACATCTTACTGATTTGTTCACTGTAGTAGCCAAGTATACTTATTATTCAATGTGTCTATGGATATACTTTATATTGGTAGCCTGTACTGTTTGTGAAGTGGGGCTAAGAGGATTATGGAATCTTTTAATTCAAAGCCAAAATCTCAGTGCTCAAATAAAATGCAAAAAAATTTTGATTTAGTGATTTAAGCTTAAGTGTCACCTACCATGATTGTACTGTGCTCTACTTTCTTCTGTGTCCATTATCTATTGAAATACATGTCTAGAAAGAGTTTGTGTCATCTTGGGTTTTTTTGTTGTTATTATAATGGCTTGTTTTTATCAGCTCCAGATTACAGTTACTCCAGCTGTCTTGTCTGGAACCAGGCAAAAAAATATGTGACATTCGCTGATTTTCTGAAAATGAGGCCGGCAGTGGTGACTGGGTATGGCTCTGCTCTGTGTAGAATTACCCAGTATGTTGTTTTCCAAGGTTAGGCAGAGTGTTGGAGTCACGTATGAGTGACATAGAAATCAAAGGAACTTGCTATTTGTAAGTTGCATTTGTACCGCATGAGCTTTTTAAGGAATTGCTACATGCAACGGACCTGGAAATGAGGAATTAAATGTGTTTAGATTAATGTTACCGTTAAAGGCACTGTTTTCTAAAACACCAAAAAAAAAGAAAAGAAAATTGCAGTATTTGCTTTTTACTTGATCTGATCTACGGGATTTTCAAATACTCAAAACTTTGAGGCAGATTTTAATAGCCTCCCAGTTACACAATTCCAAGACAGTAAGCTTTGTTACCTGCAGACTTTTATTTTACTGACATTTATGGTACATTTTAAATGCTAAAGGAATGTAAACTTTAGGTTGGACATGAGTTGCAAATGTTTTCTTTTGAGATTACATTGTTTTTTAAAGCAAATAAAAAATAGTTTATGTCTTATCTATTCACTATTTAATCCCTGTAGCTGTCACCTCTCATGGCAGTGACAGTACATCTCAAAAAGTATTGGGATGACCTGAGATTTAAATTGCAACCCTGAATTTTAGATGCTTGATCCTAGAATCATCAGTGTTCAGTTCTCAGCTCCCTGGCAGTTCATGTGGAGAGGTGTTTTATCACAAGATGCTAAACAGCTGCAATGCTGATCAGGGACCACACCTCTTTTTGGTGGGAAAAGCAGTCCATCACTGACTGAAAGTCTCAAGTCCAGCCAGCTCTGGCCTCTGTATATATATCATTGGCCTCCAGTGTTAGGGGAGGCTTTCCTTATTGCTGTTTTTTCAAATAGCAGGAAAAAATTTGCCAGTTTTATAAGGTTGGTTTGGGTTTTTTTGTTGTTGTTTTTTTTTTATGTGTATTATATTTATATATAAATTATTTATTATGTAAGTGCTGATAAAGGAAGTGGGACAATTTGGTTCTTTGAGGCTTTCTCGAGCCTGCACATTCAAATGCATTTGGGAAATGCAGGCCTTATGAGGGAAAGGCAGTAATAGCTTATCTGTAGAGAAAATTGGATAATAGTACCCCCTGCTTCTTGTTCAAGGAAGCAGAAATTACTCTGTAGCCTTGCAGATTATTTCTGTGCTGGTAGGGGAAGTCCTAGTTCTGGTCTCTGATTTTGCAATCATACCTCCTTCCCTGCCCCATAAATCTGGATGGAGCAATGCATCCTGCAGCTGGGTGTGAAGGAGCTGGTACTTGTTTGTTGGTTTGGGAGCTAGATCTGCAACTGATTTTTCAAACTCACCTGGGCTTAAATAGGAGCTGAGACTATGCCCAGTCAAAACTAAGGAGTGCTGCATGTGGACAGGTGCTGAACAGAAAGGAGCCAGGAAAACTTCCAATTCCAGCAGTTGTACACTAGCCAAAGGCTTCCGGAGTCAGTTGTTTGAGATTAAGAACTAATAAGCAGGAGTAGAAACTGGAGATACTAATCATTCTGTTGGCTAGTGCCGTGTCAGATTCCCGCTGCATAATATCTTGCACAGTGGTTTAGTCTTCTGTGAATTACATAGCATTTGGAGAAAGAGAATGCAGTGTTTCACACTGAGTTGTATGGATGCAGCGTAAGAGGATGCATGTAGTGTAACTGTGCCAATTACATCAGCTCAAAACAAATCCTCTCTTCCTACACACGAGAATCACACAATCTTTATCTGAACCTAAAAACTGTGCATCTCACTACTTAAGTGTATATTTTTGAGTTAGGCTAGAAAGGAGTCCAACAGTCAGCTAAGTCATCCGTGTTATGGTGAATGTTGACTGACAGTGAGGGGAATGTGGCTAAAATTTTATTTTCCTTAGACCTGGTGGAGAAGAAACACTGGTGTTGCCAGCCACTCCTCTCCTGTGAGAGTCCTAAATATTGAGGTCATCTGTAATACGTATCACAGGAGTTTGCTTCATCCCGACCTATGCAGGATAGGTGACCTGGTATCAAAATCTCCTGCCTTAGAATGGAGGTTTCCTATTAACGTTCCTAATCACCCTTTCTTTAAAATGCTCATGAAAAAGCTAATGTACAACATCTCAAATTAGTTTTGTGGCATCAGCATCAATTCCTGTCTTCTGTAGGAATAATCAAATAATCAAATGTAATTGCAAGTAATTATCATCCCACAGACTGCCTGAATTCCAAACAAAATTCTTTAACTAAAGATTTGATTGAAACAATTTAAAAACATTGAAAACTGAGGGTTTGGAGGGATTTTTTTACTTTGATTTTTTGTTTTGTCTGTTTAATTAATGCCAAGGCTGTGTTCTCTATCAGGGCCGCAGTTCACCAGCCAGTGCTTCCCTGACATGGTTTAACTTGTTGCCACACACAGACTCGCCAAACGGACCAGTTTGGAGGGGACTACAGCAGATCACCTGGTCCAACCTACCTGCTCACGCAGGGCCACCTCACAGCACACAGCACAGGACTGAGTCCAGATGGTTCTGGAATATCTCCCTGAGGGAGGCGCCAGAACGTCTCTGAGAAATCTGTTCCAGTGCGCACAGTAACCACACAGCAAAGAAATTCCTCCTCGTGCTCATGGTGAACTTCCAGTGCATCAGTTCCTGCCCGCCGTCTCTTGTCCTACTGCGCGGCACCCCCTGGCTGTATGCAGCCAGCACACCTCCCGGCCCTTGCCCAGGCTGAGGCTGCGGCCTGCGGCACGGCCTGCGGCAGCGCCCCGCCCCGCCCCGGCCCCCCCCCCCCCCCCCCC